AGAGAGAGAGAGAGAGAGAGAGAGAGAGAAACAACAGAGGGAGAGTAAAGAAGTAGGACTTACCAGTGGCGCCCCTACAAGATAGACAGACAGACAGATAAATATGTAAATACAGAAAAAACAGAGGGAGGGTAAAGAAGTAGGACCTACCAGTGGCGCCTTCACAAGACAGACAGACAGAATATAGAAACAACAGAGGGAGAGTAAAGAAGTAGGAGCTCCACCAGCGGCGCCCTCCCGCCGCACGCATTAACTAGGTCATAGTAGTCATACAGCATTACTTCTATAGGCCTAGTAGTTATTACAATCAAACCTTGCTCAGACGACCACCTGTATAGAACTTTGTGATTCTAAGTTAAGGTAGCAAAAAGTTATACTTTAAGAATCAGTTGAAGTGAAAAACAACTAATCTTTTTTTGGTGTGAAAGGAGGGGGGGGGAGGGGTTGTTGTTTTTGTAGTTGGTGGTGGTGGTGTTTTTTACATTATATCTACACTGTGTAAGATGTAGGCTACATCAAATCGTCTATGAAAACCACTTTCCTCCTCGAACAATCACCTGTACAAACAACCATTTCCCATACACCCCTTTTAGTTTTAGTTTTAGTAGAGGTTGTACGGCGCTCGCAACTGCATATTAAGATAACATGGGCGCCAGAAGATTAGATGTGTTACAAGAGAGTAACAAACACAATACAGAAGAACGGGAGATAAGGACGATTGATGTTTGAATTGATAGGAAAGAAGAAGCAAGCCACACCAGAGCACCCACCAACCACCCGCCAACCACCCACATTTACCCCTTTGCGGTTAGTTGTTTCTTTTGTTGTTGTTGTTTTTTTCGCTGTTGTTTTTGTTGTTGTTGTTGGTGGTGGTGGTGGAGGAGGAGTTGTTTTTACATTACAATTACACTGTGTATGACGTACATCAAATCGTCTATGAAAACGACTTTTCTCCTCGAACAATCACCTGTACAAACAACCATTTCCCATACACCCCTTTTATTTTCAGTTTCAGTTTTAGTAGAGGAGGTTGTTCGGCGCTCGCAACTGCATATTATTAAGGTCATATGAGCGCCAAAAGGTTAGAGGTGTTACAATTTAAGAGAGTAACAAACATAAAACAGAAGAATGGGAGATAAGGACGATAGATTTTTGAATTGATAGGAAAGAAGAAGCAAACCACACCAGAGCACCCGCCAACCACCCACATGTACCCCTTTGCGGTTAGTTGATTCTTTTGTTGTTGTTGTTGTTGTTTTGTTGTTGTTGTTGTTTTTGTTGTTGTTGTTTTTAGTTGTTTGTTTTTATTGTCGCTTTTTGGTTCTTGATTTTGTCTGTTTGGGGTTGGGTTGATTTTTTTTGTGTGTGTGA